TGTACTTATTGTTTGGAATAAAATAGAATTGTGGGGGAGGGTAACTTGTCACACTTTTTCAGCCAAATGAGGAGTTGAAGAAGTCTTAAGGTACTGTTTTTATCTGGAATTACTTGTATCTTTTCTAATCCTTAGTATGTTCTGGCATAGTCACCTTTCAAAGAATATAATGCATTGTTTGTGTATTGCGATCGTGAATGTTGTGTATTGATTGCTCAGTGCTTGCATTTTTCTTTTGAGTTACTTGAAAATAGTGTGTTGAATGAAAGTCTAGATTCTGGTCAGAATGCCATTAAAAAAAAACCCAAACAACAAAAAAACACAAAGAAAAAAGCAAACCCCGGAAACCAAAAAAAGAGGCAAAAAAACAAAAAACAAAAAACACCAAAAAAAAGAAAGCCACACCAAAAAAAACCAAACAAACAAAAATGACCAAAAAAAGAAAAAACCCTTCTAATTCTTAACCAGGCTTCTATGGTTTGTATTTTTATTAATTTTTATTCCACTCTTAATATTCCTGTTTATATAGGCTTAGTATCTTTCCAGAAAACAAGCTTCCTCTGATAAGCTGTTATACAGCTTGTTCTGGAATGTCTATTTATTTATTGCCACTTACCAAGTCAATCTATGGCATTACTACTTTCCAGCAGGAAGAGAGTAGGATATCATTTTTATTTATCTAAACATTTATTTATTTTTGTAAAAAATTGCATGTCCAGGGGCTATAGTATGCAATTTCTTCCAAACAGGAAGGTAAAACGATGTCTTACACTACCCACTTTAAAAGAAGCTGGAATAATATATTGCTAGAGGCAGTAGTTTAAGAACTACCCCGCAGGAAGCTCTCGGGAGAACTGGCTACACAGGATTAGGAGAAGGCTGAGGTTCTGAATGACTTCTTTGCCTCGGTCTTCACTGGCAAAGGCTCTGACCAAACCACCCAAGTCTTGGAAGGCAGATGCAGGGACTGTGAGAATGAAGACCTTGCACCCACTGTAGGAGAGGAACTGGTTCGAGACCACCTTAAAAATCTGAATGTGCACAAGTCCATGGGTCCTGATGAGATCCATCCACGGGTCCTGAAGGAGCTGGTGAATGAAGTTATGAAGCCACTGGCCATCATGTTTGAGAAATCATGGCAGTCAGGTGAAGTTCCTGACAACTGGAAAAAGGGAAATATAATCCCCATTTTCAAGAAGGGGAAAATGGATGACCCAGGGAATTACAGACCAGTCAGTCTCACCTCTGTGTCTGGCAAAATCTTGGAGCAGATTCTCCCGGATGGCATGCTAAGGCACATGAAAATCAACAAGGTGCTTGGTGACAGCCAGCATGGCTTCACTAAGGGGAAGTCCTGCCTGACCAATTGGGTGGCCTTCTATGATGGGACTACAGAACTGATGGACAGGGGTAGAGCAGTTGATGTCATCTACCTGGACTTGTGCAAAGCATTCAACACTGTCCCACACAACATCCTTGTCTCTAAATTGGAGCGACATCAATTTGATGGATGGACCACTCGGTGGATAAAGAACTGGCTGGATAGCCGCACGCAAAGAGTTGTGGTCAATGGCTCAATGTCCGGCTGGAGACCAGTAACGAGTGGTGTCCCTCAGGGATTGGTGTCGGGACCGGTCTTGTTTAACATCTTTGTCGCTGACATGGACAGTGGGATTGAGTGCGCCCTCAGCAAGTTTGACAATGACACCAAGCTGTGTGGTTCGGTTGATACCCTGGAGGGAAGGAATGCCATCCAGAGGGACCTGGACATGCTTGTGAGGTGGGCTGATGCCAACCTCATGAAGTTTAACCATGCCAAGTGCAAGGTCCTACACCTGGGTCAGAGCAATCCCAGGCACAGCTACAGGTTGGGCAGAGAAGAGATTCAGAGGAGCCCTGTGGAGAAGGACTTGGGGTGCTGGTCGATGAGAAAATGAACATGAGCCAGCTGCAGTGTGCGCTTGCAGCCCAGAAAGCCAACTGTATCCTGGGCTGCATCAAAAGGAGCATGACCAGCAGGTCGAAGGAGGTGATCCTCCCCCTCTACTCTGCTCTTGTGAGACCTCACCTGGAGTATTGTGTGCAGAGAAGGCTGCGTGGAGACCTCATAGCAGCCTTCCAGTATCTGAAGGTGGCCTATAGGGATGCTGGAGAGGAACTTTTCCTTAGAGGCTGTAATGATAGGACAAGGGGTAGCAGGTTAAAACTTAAACAGGGGAAGTTTAGGTTGGATATAAGAAGGAAATGCTTTCCTGTTAGGGTGGTGAGGCACTGGAATAGGTTGCCCAGGGAGGTTGTGAATGCTCCATCCCTGGCACTGTTCAAGGCCAGGTTGGATGAGGCCTTGGGTGATATGATTTAGCGTAAGGTGTCCCTGCCCACAGCAGGGGGTTTGGAACTAGATGATCTTAAGGTCCTTTCCAACCCTAACGATTCTGTGATTCTATAAGAAGACACTTAAAGATTTCTTTAAGGGTATTAACAATCACACAACTGTAAAGAGACCTGTGTACATAAAGCCATGCATGCTCACCTATGTGACTGTGAAAAATTCTTGTCGTTATTTTTTGAAGGTACTTAACACCACACTTCATTTAGATGGCTATGTTTCTGCTTTTGTTTAAAAACTGCTTAACTAACATATGAATTGTGCAGTGTAGTGTTTTTTTAGTTCAGTTCTGTAATCATTAGTTGTATTTGTGAGTTTCTTTCTGTAGATCCTTATAAATACTTTTAACAGTGTTTGTAGGTATGAACTTCACAATGTTTATAATAGCCTCTAAAACCAGTTGAATGGAATGTGAGGGAAAAGGAAAATTACAACCATTTTCAAAGTTCTGTCAAGAAATCTCAAAATGAAGTAATAGGCAAATTGGAATCCTAAAATGACTAAGGAGGCCATAAAAATAACTGGGTGAACCCTGATAGCACTAATGTGTTCAGCAGGTCTCCAAGAAACCCATTAACACTTTATAAGAGTGTCATTCATGAAGCTGAAATGAATTTTGAAGATAACATACTAAGTAAACATTATGTATACAAAACTTAGTGAAAAAAAATGAAAAAAAAATAGAAAAAGAACTTTTTCCCTGCAGTCTTGCAAGCAGAATAAACTGTGAAAGAACATTAACATTGAAACTGTTGTAATCCTGAAATTCAGACACTTAAAAAACTTGAAGAAACTTGATGAAAAGTACTTGAAGTACTTAGAGTAGATATATTTTTTTTTCACTGAAGAAACTTAACTGTATAGAATAGGTATTTGAATATATTTGAGATATATTCAATCCCATAAATACAGATGAAATCCATGATTTGAATTGAACTTGGTTTTTCAGTGTTGCACAAGACGTTTTCAACTGGAAGGCTTTGCTAAGGGAAAGGTACTGCTAAATTGAAAAGCACGTTTTCCAAAAAGAAAGACTGTGTTGCTTGCATAGCATTTCCATTGACTTTTATGTCAATGAGTTCTGGGTTTTAATATTTAAAGTTCCCTAGTATAAAATTAGAGTTGACCAATCATTAGGTACATCATGCCTCTACATATAAGAGTAGTGTTTTCATATATTTTGAAAATCATGTATTAACCTTAATTTGTAATTTGCATCTCAGCCTCTCACATGAGGCTACGACAAAGGAGCTGCAGCAAAAGGATAGACCTAATGCTGTTTGTCACATAGTTAGAATAGTTGATTTCAGTAGCCAATAAAGGCCTCATTCTTAAGCTTGTATTACTTGAGATAGTCATGAATTGGGTACTGCTCAAATAATTTGGTTAGTATGGAAAAGAATTGGAAATAATATTATTAGCATTGGAGAGGCTATTACCATAGCAAATGACTGCAAATTACCTAAAGTGCCCAGAGTAATGGAAAGGGAGATCTTCAGAAGGTGCTTTCAGGACTGTTCTTTACAGTGAATTTGTACTTTCATGGTTTCCTACAATTAAAATAAAAATTATAATCATCACAATATCACTAAAGTACTTTCCATGATAACTAGTAGAAGCAGTGCAGGTCATTAAATCTGTAGAAAGGAAAGAATTTGTGTTCTGCAGTCTCTTTTAAGTGTTTGTGAAAAGTAATTGAGCAAAAGTAAGTTTATTAGAAAATCAATTCTATATCTTAAACCTTTGTTCTTCAGTTGAAAAAGTCTTAGACTCTCCAGATGCTGAAATTGTAACTGTCTACAGAAATTCTTTCTAGGTGAAAATCTCATTTTTCATAAGTGCAGAGAGGAGCTAAGTGTTTTTATAATAGATTATTTGTGTTTTAAAGCATAAACAAGCATTAAACTATAATAACTATTAATTTCCTCTGTTAACTGTATAATTTAATTTTTTTAAACATTCTCAAGGATTATTTGGGACTACAGATACAAGCTTTGTATTCCTTTTAGAGGCTGCAGTTTACTGTAAGTATTGCTGGGGGAAGTTCCACATGAACAATTGCAGGATGAAGATTTTTTCACAAGCAGAGGAGGTTGTTACTGAATTTGTGTGTGTTTGCATATTTAAACTTCATTGTGCAAAATTAATCATAAATACTTTTTTTAATTGTCTGTTTCTTCACCAGGTTCCTGCTATTTCTTCCATTAGAGTAGTTGTAGTTTGTCATCTTAGATTTAAAGATGTATATTCTTCTGAACTGATTATTGCTGATTTATTGACATTTAATTATTAACAGGTAGTTGTTTTACTGTATATTAGTTTTGATCACACTCTTGATTAAAAACAAGTGCTGAAATAGAATGTGGCTAAAGATTTTGATTAATTTTAACAGATGTTATCCTGCTATATTTTGTTTTCCTTACAGATTCAATATTTGAGGGTTTGGTGGGAGTGGAAGCCTCAGAGTAAGAATTTTGGAATATTAAATATTTCAACAGGCATTCTTAGTTTTTTTACAGCATACTCTTTTTCTTATGATTGCTGTATGTATAGAGTCATACACATAGACATATATGTGAAATAAAAAAATGTGTGCTGTTTGTTTTAACAGATTGGACAACTTGCTTTTAAAGGCATGAAAAGACTAAACCGAATCCAATCTATAGTTTTTGAGACTGCCTACAACACGAATGAGAACATGCTAATCTGTGCCCCCACTGGAGCTGGGAAGACTAACATTGCCATGCTGACAATCCTTCATGAAATTCGCCAGCATGTTCAGCATGGCGTTATCAAAAAGGATGAGTTTAAGGTACGAGTTTAATGAAGTAAATAACAGCTTTTTAACTTGTAAGGTAAAACCCATTTTATGTTATACATGAAATATTAAATCAGGAGCTTTTAAAGGGTATTGCACTTTTCCAAGTTAAAAAGGTTGGTTTTGATTTACTTCATTATTGCTAAAGCTATTCTTATTTGTGTTCTAAAAATCTTATTATGTGAGTAAAAGGCTATGAAAATGCATTTAGCTTTGATGCAGAACCAATTTTCGAAGTGATGAGGCTATATAAACAAAATCCATTGTCCTATAAACATCTGCACACTTACCCAAGAAAGATAACTGCTTTTCATATCTCACTATTAAGATTTTTCACTGTAAGCGCCTGGCATCGTATTTCACCATAAATTGTGATTTGTAATGGTTGCCATGAAACAAACGACATTGTGAGGTTTGCTCATTTATCAAGCAAGTGTCCTTTTGGTGCAGATTGTGTATGTTGCTCCTATGAAGGCTTTGGCAGCAGAAATGACAAATTACTTCAGCAAGCGACTGGAACCACTAGGCATTACTGTGAAAGAGTTGACTGGTGATATGCAGCTGTCAAAAGGTGAAATTCTGCGAACACAGGTATGCTTAATATTTTCAAATACTGTTCTGTGTGTGTATATTCATACCTCTCCATAGGCTCACTTGTCTTTTCTTCAAACTCCTTGTTGAAGTATTGGTGAAGCAGCTGAAATCTCCTTACTGAGTCTGTAGTTATTCTGGTTATGTTCCAAAATTTGACTTTCCATTTAAAATGACTAAAGCACCAATACAGTTGAAATATCTTAAGCAATGGGCTCATCAAACTTTTTGGTTTCTCCCATTTGGACTTATGGTATCCCACTTCAAGGTATAACCTTCCTATAAAATCTCACCTGATTTCTAGCTTGTGAACCTTAGTGGGTTGTGCTTTATAAACCAAGTATGTATGTATGTGCAAGAACCTAACATTCATAATTTCAGATTTGGCATTCTATGATAATAACCATCTTAAAAAAGTTAAGGTCTGGTCTGCAAATGGTAAATTCGAAATACATTTGAAATTCTGTAACATTGTTGCAAACATGTCAAATAATGCTTACTACCTTAAAAAAGAAAAAAAAATAAAAGCTGTAGGTTCCTATTAATGGATGATCTTACTTATGCTTTATAAGGACAAATAGGAAAGTATAAGACCTTGCTAGGCTCAACATTTGAAAGTTCATAGAAATAAATAAAATTTGCTTTTCTAACCTCATAAACAGTATTGCACAGATGGAGATTTTTGTTTTTTAGCAAAAACTTCCTGTCACATTTAATTCAGACAAATGCTGTTTCTGTCAGTGAAATATCATTTTTCCAGAATATTGAGATACTTTTATATCTGTTGTTATGTAGAGATCCTTCTAATTACCCTTCCTCCTCCTGCTTCGTCCAAGAGACATGCTAACACTTGGTTGCATTATTGATCTGAGCATTTATAAACGTAACTTGTAATAATTATTGATTCAGAAGAGTTACATTTTTTCAGTTTTAGCTTTTGGTATATTTTATATTTTTATAAGACTAGAGAAAACTAGACAAGAAAAGATGTCTATATGCAATTAATAATAAAGAGGACCACTGCAGTAATCTAGGATGATGATGTCCTGGACAGCAGTCTTATTTTATTAGAAGACGTGTGCACACATATTGATGCAAACAGTCACCATGCTATGGTAAGCAATAAATAACAAACCAGTACCAATGAGTAACAACAACATCACTGCCAAAACGGAAGTGAGAGCCGAAAAGCATGCTCTGAATCTAACTACAAAGTTATGTGAACAGAATGAACTTAGAATGGAAAAATGCTGTTTTCATTTGCTCTCCTAGCTTGCAATGTAATCCATAAAATCGCACCTCATCACTAAAACTGCTTACATCCAGTAAAGAAGAAGGGAAATAAAATTAAAAAAATGAAAAAAAACGAAAACAACATTTCAGGCATTATCAAGAAATGTGCATGGAAAATAGTTTGCAAAGTTGACATTTTATTGCCATATTAGTTGGAAATTATTAATATATACAAAATGTTAATTTAGAGTAACATATTAATTTAAGTGTAGAAAAACTGTCTGCTTCATCGTGCTCTCCTATTTGAGTCCAAAATACCACTAGTAGCAGAATTTGTCATCTTCCTTTGAGGAAGTGGCTAAAGTAGATTTATGTAGCATAGAATCAAGAAGGAAATGGCAAAGGGACAACATAGGTAAAAATAATTTTTTTTCATAGCATTGAAATTTATTGGGTTTTTATCTGCAACTTACTCATCTTTAAAGGATTTCTACAGTTGTGTATGTACCTCATAGGATAGAAACACTCGTGAAATGTGGTGTATTTGTTGTTCCTAAATTGGGGTGGGGGCATGGAGGTGGAAGAAGAATGATTTCCAGAAAAGGAAAAATTTGGAAACCATTATGTTATTTGTGACCCAAAATTTAGTTCCTAGATTTTCAAAGGAACTACAATTAAAGCATTGATAATAGCTTTGCTTCTTTGCTCTTCAAAACATCTGAAAGGCTAAAAACAAATTATATATCAAGGCCAAAAATTCTTGGACTGTCAAATACTCATTTTTGTTTCCTTTTGGTTATTGCAGCTAGTCAGTCTTCCTTCCTTTAGGATTAATGAGAATTTTAGGTGGTGCGGAAGAGAGGGAACACAAATCCAAGAGTAATTGCTGCTGCTGTTCTTACAGACTCTGAAGCCCAGCAGTGGGCTTTGTTTTATTGCTGCTTATCAAAGTGCACAGAAAATATGTACCTTTATTATAAACTGAGGAAAGGACACGTGCTGGATTTTGCCTATTGTTCTTTGCACGTATTATTTCCTATGAAGACTCGTAAGCTTTTTTTCATCAACTGTGCAATTAAACCACCTCATCCAAGCTGGGTTCTTTCATGGCTTTTTACCCTATATTAAATTGATTCTTGCTTCAAAGCTTTATTTTGCTTTCAGCCTTTCTAACATGCACATTTCTCAAACATGAATATTCTGATAGGTGTTGCTGCTTTATTTGTGGTTTCAGAGTTGCTTTGCCAATCATTACCCTGCTTTCTAGCCTTTACTGGTGTCGCAGATGAAGTCGCTCTGTTTAAGTGTAAAGCAATTTTCCCTATAAGGATTAACATTATAGAAGATGGCTACATGTACACAATTTCAATATATAGAGATTGTATGTATAGCATGGAGGATAAAAGGCAGTAGTAGGATCATCAACTGAAGTAGATGCAGGCATTTCAGGTTGGATTATTGTTTCAAAAGATCTCAGCTGATTCTTCTAGGAAACAGAAGGCCAGATATAAATCTTCCATGACAGTAGTCTTCTGCCTCTTTTCTGAGCAGTTACATTTTCAGCACCTTCATTTTCATCCTCAGGTGAATCAAGTCAGTCATAATGAAAGATGTAAAAATGAGGTGATTGTCAAATATTAGAAGTAGCACTTCAGTGACAGTCCTGACAATTTTCTCCTTCATTTCTATCCTGCATGCTTTATCCTTTATACTTGGACTGTGTGTATTTAAGTATGTGTATTTTGTAGGTTATTATGTGCACCTGTTATGCTTGTTCTATGGAGGAAAAATTGCTTTATCTGACAAATTGCTAATTCACACTTCTCAGGAAGCCACTGTTAATGTACAGTGGAGCCTGCTTGTTGTTACTTTTGCTAAAAATATTTTTCTGTGCTTTCCATGCTGTTATAGAATCATAGAATCATAAAATAGTTAGGGTTGGAAAGGACCTTTACGATCATCTAGTTCCAGCCCCCCTGCCATGGGCAGGGACACCTCACATTAAACCATGTCACTCCAGGCTCTGTCCAACCTGGCCTTGAACACCGCTGTGGATGGAGCATTCACAGCTTCCCTGGGCAACCCATTCCAGTGCCTCACCACCCTCACAGTAAAGAACTTCTTCCTTATATCTAATCTAAGCTTCACCTGTTTAAGTCTTAACCTGTTATCCATTGTCCTATCACTACAGTCCCTAATGAAGAGTCCATCCCCAGCATCCTTTTCTCATTCTCATTTCTCTGTTACTTATATTAATCAAGAAGGCATCCTTGTCTCCTGCTGCTCCATACTTATATGGTATTATACATAAGATGGTTTTACTTCATGTTATTCCACGCTATACTTTGAAAATTCATTTACCGTACAATGGTTCCAACACGTACTTCAGAAGCCAAGCTCTTCAAAAAAGTTGTTTCTAATTTTATCAACAATGAAACTCCCTTAAAAATAAAAATACATGTTATATTGACTCTTCAGTTGATCTTCTAACTTGCTCCCTTCATCTTGTGCAGAGAAAGCTGTAACTACTACTTAAGCTGTGTCTTAAGATGCGAGATGCATGTTAAAAGTGTGAGACCCAATTTTCCTTCATGTCTTTGTGAAAAGGAGAAAGTGTAAGTACTTAACCTGTCACCTTAATGTTTCAGGCATAAGAGATCCAGGTTTCATTACCAAATAATTTGTACAAAAATAAATGCTTCACTTAACCTGTAAGCAGAAGAAAATAAACTTGTTACAAACAAGTTTGCCCAGCAAAATCTTGGAGCAGATTCTCCCGGAAGACATGCTAAGGCACATGAAAATGACAGGGTGCTTGGTGACAGCCAGCATGGCTTCACTAAGGGGAAATCCTGACTGATCAATTTGGTGGCCTTCTGTGATGGGGCTACAGAACTGATGGACAGGGGTAGAGCAGTTGATGTCATCTACCTGGACTTGTGCAAAGCGTTTGACACTGTCCCTCATGACATCCTTGTCTCTAAATTGGAGAGACATCAATTTGATGGATGGACCACTCGGTGGATAAAGAACTGGCTGGATGGCTGCATGCAAAGAGTTGTTGTCAACGGCTCAATGTCCAGCTGGTGACCAGTAACGAGTGGTGTCCCTTAGGGGGCGGTGTTGGGACCAGTCTTGTTCAACATCTTTGTCGCTGACATGGACAGTGGGATTGAGTGCACCCTCAGCAAGTTTGACAATGACACCAAGCTGTGTGGTTCGGTTGATACCCTGGAGGGAAGGAATGCCATCCAGAGGGACCTTGACGTGCTTGTGAGGTGGGCTGATGCCATCCTCATGAGGTTTAACCATGCCAAGTGCAAAGTCCTACACCTGGGTCGGAGCAATCCCAGGCACAGCTACAGGTTGGGCAGAGAAGAGATTCAGAGGAGCCGTGTGGAAAAGGACTCGGGGGTGTTGGTTGATGAGAAACTGAACATGATCCGGCTTCAGTGTGCGCTCACAGCACAGAAAGCCAACCGTATCCTGGGCTGCATCAAAAGGAGCATGACCAGCAGGTTGAAGGAGGTGATCCTGCCCCTCTACTCTGCTCTCGTGAGATCTCACTTGGAGTATTGTGTGCAGTTCTGGTGTCCTCAGCATAAAAAGGGCGTGGAACTGTTGGAACAAGTCCAGAGAAGGGCCACGAGGATGGTCAGGGGACTGGAGCACCTCCCGTATGAAGATAGGCTGAGGAAACTGGGGACGTTCAGCCTGGAGAAGAGAAGGCTGCGTGGAGACCTCCATAGCAGCCTTCCAGTATCTGA